ATTTTGAGATACGTCTGTTTTGCAAGGTTCAGTGTCCTCGCCGTGATTAAACCGGCGGCATCACATGTCGAGTTGCGCCTTTGTCTGGAGGCTGCAGATGGTGTAGTCTACTGCCCTGAAACAGGAGGCGACACTGCGACTGGATGCGATGCGGAAGCCATAACCTGGGCATAGGAAGGTTTCGCTTGTGCTGCTGGCCGATGGCACAACATTGGCCTGTATTGACGTTCATTGCATGCCTCAGAACCTCCACAGCTCGTTTGGCGCTCGGCAGTGGAGGCCCATAGACGATTGTGCAATGTTTCACACCACATGAGGAGAAAATGCTTGCCTTGTCCCGCGATTCGACTGCTGTGACGCGCGGAGCAAGCCAAGTATGCGCCTTCTACAGCTGGGCAAACGGTGCAAATGTCGCTATTTTCCTTCTCCGTAGCCACGGGTGCTACTGTGCTGACGTCAGTGCCTGTTTAATGCGTGTGCTGCCTCACCTACTATGCGCATTGAGGCGTTTCGTGCGCGCGCACTTCGAGCTCATTGCCTGTTGAAAATTTGGTGGCTCCCATTAATGCAAGAGACAAGCAAGCAATAGAATAAGCAATACAAGCACGGGCATAGATCACTTTCATTTAGAGGCGCTAAAACCAAACTACGCAAGCAGGGGAAGGCGAAATGCGCATTGTATCGGCGGCCTTCTTTGGATTCAAAGGCGTTGACGAGGCATCACCACGATGGTATCACTGAACTCGAAAAGTGAAGAGAACGACCTGCGAGTCGCTTACTGACTCTTAGACGACCTGCGCGCCACCACTATCGAGGCGCGATCAGAGCATCCACTGTTTGGTCTGCGGCTTGTCCGGGAACCAAAGCAGCGTTTAACTGTCCCGTTTGAGCTGTGTCTACACTGTTGGTATTTCTTTGTTGTGCGTGGGAGGCCCACATAGTAAAGGGCGCGTGTACACACTCAGTGCACTGGCAGTTTTGGCTTGTGACGATACAGGACGTGGGCGGAGACGCAGTCTTGAGATACATTTGCATGGTTTGGCGTCTAAGGCTTGCGTCAAATGGAGACCGCACTTGCAGAGGTGCACTTTTTTCTGAAGGCTGCAGCGTGTGCTGTTGACAGCTGAGACACAGGAGGCGAGATTGCGATTGGATGTGAAGCGGAGCCTACACCTTGGAGATTGTGAAGATTCACTCGCGCTGCTATTCGTGGCCACAACCTTGGCCCTTATGGGCTGTAGCAGATTGGCTCACAGTCTATGCGAAGGTTACTTTGTGCAAACAGTAGTGGCCTGGGCTCGGCACCGCTGTACAAGGATGTGAGCGACTGCGGTTGACGTCTTAAGTGTGTCGGCTCTGACCACCGGTAGACCGCAGCGAGGCTAGTAACGCGGATCGTGCGGCATGACCCTTCACTGCTACTGACGGCTGCGTGTAATTGCCCAGTGACAGCATGAAACATACACGGGATGCTGTTGATACTTTGTGCGCACGGCTCTTTCAGGCTTATGCCCAGTGCAGAGTAGTTCACGCGTTTGTTGTTCGGTCGATATGCTTATGCTGCCGTCTGCAGAGGTACTCAAGTTCTTTTTTTTTTGCTGTGCAGTGTCTTTAGATGAATGTCTCTAGTCGGATGCGCAATAGNGGTACTCAAGTTCTTTTTTTTTTGCTGTGCAGTGTCTTTAGATGAATGTCTCTAGTCGGATGCGCAATAGGCGCCGTGCAGGGTTGGTGAACGTGCAAGCCGTCAGCTTTTCACCATGGGTAAGCTACGGCAAGGTTCAAATATGCAGGCATCTGCTTATGGTATTCTCAGTACCCTGTTTAAACCAGAAGCTGCGCCTGCAGAGGGAGAGATTCGAGTTTCCACCGTTGTCTGCCGGTTAGACGACGGGATGCTCCCTTCATCGATTGCACGATGATCCCGTTATGGAACGGAGGCATTTGCAATCTGCGTAAAGAAAGTCCAAGGCTGCTGGCGGCGTGACGTTCCTGTACCTCACCAAGTAAGGCCTGCGATAAAACTGATTATGACAGTCTGTGCAGATGTGATGAAGAGACTTCCAACTGTACGCGGCTGTGCAAGTAGGCAAGTAGGCATAACCCTAATGTTTGCCGTTTTTGGGGTGAATCGCCTGACGCAAATCATGTGTCAATGAAACTGGCTAGCAGAATTCTCAAATAGCGGCACAACGCCTAAATGCTGTGTTTATATGGCCACGTTTACTAACTTGCATAAACAGTGCTCCTGGACATTTGGCAGACCTGGACGGGAGTCTGCTTACTAGGTTGCTGACAATCTTCCATAGGAGTGAAAGTACAGTGCACCAGTGTTGCAACCGCTTCAGGAGCAATCGGACGCGAGCTTCACTTTTTTGGCGGGATATTTGCGAGTAAATCACTGTGAGATGTCATATTAACTTTGAGGAGTCTTGCTTTTCTTTCGTTCTGAGTTCACATGGCCAACGGTCAGAGCGTGCTCTTGTAATGAATATCTGCAATTCTATGTATTGTGCGTAAACCATGACAAAAGTGGTTAGATGCACTCAGCTAATTATATCTCAATCAACTGGTAGGTAGATGCCAACTGTGGCACCCAGTACCGGCGTTAACGTTCTGAACGAGGCGTTTGTAACCCATTATCGTGCTTTGGTAGCTTGTGTCACTCCATGGATTGGTGTAACGAAAAGTATTTAGGTCAGCATCGCGATATTGGCTGTCGCTGGCGATCTAGAAGTCTAAACAGTGGTTGTGCAATCAAAGGACGCATGCACGTGTTATGCCGCGTGTACGCAAGAGACAGTTCTAATGTTTTATCAACACGGACACTTATCCGGCACCTCAACTGTAGTTCAATTTCAGGCCGGATTGAATTTCAGGCCGGATGCTGCTGATGCTCTCAATTCCTTGAAAGACGTTGCAGGCCAATATGGGCTTTTGGACGGCAAATGGAAATTCTATGGAAGTGGACGGCACTTTTAGGGCTTTTACTTCTTCCTCAGATGCCTTGAGTGCCAATCTTCTGTTCACAAAACCCTGATGCCCAAGCATTGGAGACTTAACGGAAATTGCTCAAGAGAAAGATTCATGATGCTTGGTGTATTCGGGCAGTAACGAGTGTGATACAGCCTTGTTCGGCCAGTGCAACTTAGTGTTAGTTCAGCCTTTTTGCTGATTGAATGTTTACCCCTTTATCGCGCTTCATTGGAACACGCTCACTCGATCTTATAGTTATTCGAGCAAGGGTTCAATTGCGGATTCATAACAGGTATTTGCAATAAAACATGGGAGCATTCATTTCTCAGCGAAATCCCTCGCAGTAGGTACGTCCGCTTTTGCCCCCAAGCGTGCATGTTATTCCGCCTAAACAAAAACAAGTCCTCTATTCCCGCGAATGCCATGAGTGGAATCCGTCTCCGCACGTGCTGAGTGATTTTCTATACAGAGCTCCTCAGAGCTGTCTCAGAGTCACTTGTCATCAACTTGGAGCGTCTCTAACAAGCGCGTTGTAGGGCCACAAGGAACTATATTTTTCTCCGGTTACATACCCTCGCAAGCTCTTATCTTTCTCACGGCATCGCGCAATTCCCTTTTCGTTTATAATGTAGGGTCTGCGTTTTCGATTATACTACCGTTTAGCATTCAGTGTTTATTGCGGGGGGTTGGTTGAGCGTAGGGGCTTAGGGTTTGCATTTAGGCTTTGGAGTCTAGGCTCAGCGGTCCTAACAGACGCTGGCATTTAGAGTCAGGGAGTAGCGTTTAGGGCTGGAGGTTAAGTGTCAGGCACTCCACCTGCTCTCCCTTTAAGCTCATCACTTAAGTAGCCTTCTGTACGCTCGACTGCCGAGGTGACAACGGAGCAGCAGCAGAAACGGTAGTAACAAGCGCGGAGGTTTCCGTAGATGCCCTTAAGCCCAAGGCTGCCTTGCCCAGCCTGTGTTAGGGCATCCCTTCGTGCACCAGCTACAGGACCAACAGCAGCAGCCGCGTATCAGAACCAGCAGCAGCAACCGCAACACTAACGTATCAGCACCAACTGCAGCAACGTCGTGACGAACATCGGCTGCAGCGTCACAGTGTCATGCTTAGCAATGTCATTAGGACCAGCAGCACGGTGGGCATGTGCTGATTGGGTAGATGTAGGACAAGCAGTGCTCATTAGCGGACTGAATGCATTTTCAGATTGTTGCTGCAGTCCAAGAATTATTCATGCCCTTGGAAACGCTGCGCCAAGTCGCATTCCAAAGAAGAAGCCTAATTATCCTTGTCAAACAACAGCAGCAACAACAGCATTACAGGTCCCAGTAACCAGGGGTGTAGCCGCTGTAGTGTATGCTGTAATGCCCTTTTGCTGTTGCTGTTGTTTCAGCCTGCTGGCGCGCCGCTTCGTGCTCTATCAAATGCAACAGCAACTCAGCTCAAATTCTGAGTGGTTGAGAGCTTTCGAGAGAAATGTGTCGCCAACGGGCCTCCAAATGCTACTCCAGAACTTACCAGTTCAGGGGCCCCAATGCTGCTGCTGTTATGCTACTGATGCTTCCCGCCAGCCGCAATTTCAATCAGCAAAGCAGCATCAGTATTTGTCGCAAGAGTAGAGCCGGCGTGATGATGGATCTCGAGAACATTTCGGCTGGTTAATAGCGAACGGGCTGCCGCTGCTGGTCCTGCTGGTGCTGCTGCTGCTGCCCCTGTCATTGCTACACCTGCTCTTGCTGCATAAAGTGACGCGGATATCAACGCTGAGCTCTTGCAGGCATGCTGAGGAGCTGCTGGTGCGGTTTGAGGTGTTAGGGAGATGGTGATATATTGCGGCCTCTGTTGCACGGAGACGTCTTCAACAATGTTTAGTTGCGACGCCCGCTCGCATGCAGTGGCAGAAAGAACAGCAGCAGCGCAGTTAGTGTTCGATTGATGGGCTGGCCACTCGCCGCTAACGTCCAATCCTTCATCCTCTCTTTCTGATTATAATCTTGTGCGGCTGGTCTAGCTCTTACCGCCAAAACTAACCGTGATAGCGGTAAGAAAACTGGGGAAGAAGGTAACGAGCCAGTACCTCTGAAAAAAGCAGCAAAACCATATAAATGATTGGACACAAGTTCAACTACTAAAGTAAATAAACACAAATCGTTGCAGACACAGAGGAGGGGTAAGTGGAAAGAGACGAACATCCAGATACCGCAACAAATCCGGCGTGACGCCATGCGTTCCCCGCAAGGCAAACGCTAAAATTGCGCTGCTTCAGTTTCTGATGCCGCAGCGCTATTCAACATGCTGCAGAAGCTTCTGGGGATGCTGCTCCTGGTGCTTGCGTGTGGCTGTGCTTTCTTAACAGCCTTCCTTCGGATCAGCCCCTGAAGGGGCGAGATAGCTGCTGTGCAGCAGCAGCAGCAGCAGCGGCGGAAGGTTGCTGCTAGACCGTTTGCAAAAGTGCTTGCAGACAATTAGCCTTCATATCGATTTTGTCCATATGTTTATCTGCAGCACCAGCAATAGCGAATTACGGCTGTCCTGCAGCAGCAGCAGGAAGCAGCCGTGTTGCAGTTGAGGAAGCGGTTGCTGAGCATCGTTCGAAAAGGGTGCAAACAGCAACCGCTGCAGCGGACTGGGGGTGAAGACATTCGGGTGGGAGAGTAGGTGTGGCACGCAAAAGCAGCACCACCAGCGATGACGTACTTAGGTGCAGATGCCTATAGTGTGTAGCAACTGCTCCTTTTGCTTCACTTCGATTGCCATCTCCAAATACCACTTCTGCAGAACCAGCTACAACAGCCGGAACAGCAACAGCAGCTGCAACAGCAACCGCAGGAACAGCGACAGGATTATCACAGCGACATGATCAGAGAGAACCATGTCTCTCCTGGAATGGATTGGCTGCCTGGTCTCAATGTGGCGGTGCCGGTTTCTAATGCTGCTGAAGTACACCGATATCTGCAGTTGCAGCCGACGTTACCTGCTGTGGTTGCTGTGCGGCGATGCCGTCGATTCTTCACAGCTGGAATCTCGGACTCTGCAGTAAAGAAAGACTGGAGACCGCAATATGATGGGCTTCTATATCGCGGTTCTCCTGCTTTTGCTGCATTTTCCTACAACGTGTTTTCGTTTTCTTCCGGCTACAACGAGCTGCAAGACGGCCACGACTCCCTCTACTGGTTTCGATTAATCCTTCGTTGGGGCTTCCAATACGCCCACCAAATTCTCTTACGACGCTGATTGCACGGGGATTCAGTTCAGTATCCATTTTTACTGTTGAACCACCTTAGACTGCTAAAACAGAAGCTCAGCAACATGCAAAGCATTGTGCGCGGGCACTAGCAGGCTGCATGTGTGTGGTAGTTGTGGTTGGGGGTGGAAGGTTCGGGATTGCATGTGTGTGTGTGTGTGTGNTGGGTAAGTGGGTGGGTAAGTGGGTGGGTGGGTGGGTGGATGGGTGGGTGGGTGTGGGTGTGGGTGTGCACGTGTGGGTGTGCGTGGATGTGTGTGTACGTGTGGATGTGTGAGGGCAAGAACGGCAGCCTAGACACTCCCCAGGATCATATCTTGATTGGGCTGCTCCACTGTTCCGCCGGTGGCCTGCTCTGTGTAGTGAATACTCACTACAATGCATGAGAGTGCACATTAATATTTGTCGAGTAAATACTCAATGAGAGCATTAGATATTGCTTACAAAAGACGTGTGGTGCTATGACTGCACGAGACGCTGACATCCGATTTGGTACAAAAAGATGTTGCAACATGCTAGGCGGTCTCGTCTCCCAGCCCCTAAGGTTGCAGTGCCGGGTCCAGTATGGATGAGTGTAGAACGACTTTGGATATGAAAGCAAAAGAAGAAAATTTCTTTAAGCTTTGTTAGTTTTGGTTGTTTCCCGAATCAGATGTTTGAGTATCTGTAGCACCAGTGAAGTTGCTTGAGGTTGTCAGTTAGCTTATGCGCGGTGGCCCGTTATACTGGGAAGCGGGGTTTGTATAGCATGAGTCAGCGTAGGAGCCTTTCCTTGGCCTTGGTAGGTTGTGCGTGAACGCTTGCAAACGTTCTATTAATACACTCAAAGGAAGCTTCGTTGAAGTTTCCTTGTTTGCATGCGCTGGGCTGGCTTGTATTAGCAGCCGCAGCGAGGTGAGTTGCATCACTGCTTCTTGCTGCCGCCTCCCCGCAACACGCAGGGCCTGCGCTCAACGTCCAGGACGCCTAAGGGCAGGGGAAGGATGTTATGTGCTTTTGGAAAACTCCCGATTTAAGTATTTACCTACATTTCATCTCGCCTCCGTCCCTGATAAATGCCAGAGGACAAGCGTTGTAGACTTAAGGATTTGCCCTGCAATTGACTTTCGGAGGAATTGCCTATTAATGTGTCGTGCTTATTGAAAATATTGCGAATATTGCACTAAGCTGTAATATTCTCTATTCACGTGAACGAAGCCCAGCATAACATGAGAGGGACTGAGAGCTCGGCCCACACGCCAACAGCCTCGTTAGCCAGCAATACCTCCGTTGTTATTTATTCATAAACCCTCATAATGTGAGGATCTCTACTACAGCTCGTAGTTGGTTTTTTTTTGTATGCGTTCGTGTTGTCGTTTGGTGCACAAGCTACAGAGCTGCGGACATTGGTTTGGTGCCCCCATTGATGAGACTGAGAGGCAGCTTCGAGAGCCCTATGATCTCTAAGGCCCCAAACTCCCCTAAGCTAACCTGCTAAAGGGGAAGTTGTCGCACTCTGGTCCTGAGAGAGCCAAACTGGGCAGGCTTTCCCCTGTGCACAGGCTACAGGGCTGCGGCGACATCAACAGCCCATGCAGCGCTCTCCCTGGCTCTGTAGCGTGAGTTAGCGCAGAAGCCTTCCCCTGGTTTTGGCACGTTGCGTGTAAGCG